CAAAAATTCTCCATTTAATTAACTGGGCTTTGATCTTGTTCCTAAAATATGTCTTCTAATGTGTCCTGGATCTGGGCTACATGTCTACATAAGCATCTTCTACCTGCCTGCTGTGCACTTCTCACATTGTTCCCATCCTGATAAGAATTAACTTTTTTCATATTTGACGTCATTCCAAATGAATAATTTTCATCTGACAAAGGCTTCCTTCATAAGGTTTCTGAAAACAGATCTGGAGAAATACTTAACACTAATAGCAGCTGAAGCATACAGCAAACACTAAACACATTTTCTGCAAGTTTAAAAAGGTACAATTCCATTAAAGTGTATGAATTGTGTCCTCTTCATGTCACTTGTGAATTTCAATGTGGGTGGGGTCCCTAATTTCCTTAGCCTCCTTTGAAAACTCCTGCCTGAAATGATAAACCATTCCTCTGATCTCAATACATGTAGCATTCCAATATTTTCTTGAAAAGTGGCTAGAACCCAGCATGAGTGTTGAGTAAAAATTAAGGCAGAAAACTTTATCCTTAAAACAGATCCAAGTAAGGATTTTTAGGGGGAATATAAATGTTTGAATCACTGTGTGAACTCTGTTCAAACAAGATCACACCCATATATAAATGGTTGATTTCTGTTTGCCAGAGTTGCATTCCTGTTTTTTTTTTTAAATTAACAATTGTTTTTTGTGTATATATATATATCCTTCTGAAACCAACAATTAACAGGTACAGACATGAGTGAGCTGAGTTATCCTTTTCAACTGCATTCCATAGGAATGACTGAATAATGTGTCTTCATTAACACTTTATGATTGTCAAAAGAAAAGCCCAAGAAAAAGAAATACATGCCTGCCGATAAATGTAAATGATAAAACTGAAACGATAAATTTAAAATGAGCTAGTCTAAGCACATGTTTGCTTGTGAGACTCACAAATCATGGCCAAATGTGAAATCTGTGTTAAAACTAACTGCAGAAATGAAATCTATGAACACACCATTGCGTTAAAAGTGCATACAGTGAAAACCTTCAACATCATTGTGCTAGACCAGGAAGAAACAAACAACATATGATATCATGTAAGTGACGGTTACTTATTGTAACTAATGGTTCTTCAAGATGTGAAGTCCATACCTATACTACACATGTGGTATGCACATGCGTAAGTCTGAATGTTTTTCAAAGCAGCATTGGCCCATACATACTCTCCTCATACTTGCAACTTAGGGCATAAGAGGCAATGTGTGTCAATGGCTCTCAGCTTCTCTTTCCACAATCCTGCAGGATCTGAAGCCAAGGGGATGGGAGGGCAAGGTAGTAGAATACAGATAGTGATCACACATCTCATAGAACCTCCAGTCACTGTAGGTAACCAGAATTTCTTCAAGTAATGGGCCCTATGTAAATTCCACACATGGATGATTGGCAAACAGTGTTCAGACTAGAAGTCGGTGCAAAGAAGATGGTAGTAAATATGTTTGCATTACTGGTGATCCCACTATTGCATCTGCAGCGGAGATATTAATGAGGGCGTAGTGTGTCATAAACAAGTAGATCAAACTCCAGCTGGCCTCTCTGCAAATGTCCATCATTGGAACATCCGATGGAGATTCTGTGGCAGCAGTTTGTGCTTGCATGGAGTGAACTGCGATTCTCCCAGAGGGGGAGGAATGTTTGCTAACTTGTTGACTCTAGGTGCATCCTGAGCCTCATAGGGTGCGTCTACACAGCAGGGCTTAACTAGAAAAAAGCTACGCAAACTGAGCAACGTCAATTGCATAGCTAATTTCAAAATAGCTTATTTTGAAATTGGGAGTGTCTACACAGCACTTATTTTGAAACAGAGCACTCTTCCTCCGACTTCCTTTACTCCTTGTATAATGAGGGTTACAGGAATAGGAGTAAGAAGTTCTCCAGCTTGACAGTATTTTGACATTATTTCAAAATAACTACCTGCTGTGTAGATGCGAACAAGTTATTTCGAAATAACGCTAGTTATTTCAAAATAACGTTGCTGTGTAGATGTACCCATAGGGACCATCGCTGGAAGAAAAAAATAAATACCCAGAGTATTTTCCAAAAGCAACAAACTGACGTAGGAGCCTACAAGCAAGATTTAAAAAAGAATTTTAAGAGCCTGAAAGTACAAATAGGTGCCTACTGGGAATACTCCCTGACTTCTCTTTTATCTCAATTAGTGTTATAGCTGCATCTTTATTTGCCTAAATACAATTTAAAAATCTAGTCACAGAGGTGACTGGATTGATTTATCCTAGAGAAAAAGAGTGAGAAAATCTGTTCCTTGCATTCAAGGTTCAGACTGACTTTTTTTTTTAAAATTTAATAATTATTAAAAATACCAAGAAGTTAATCAAATAATACAATCTTTTAAAAGTGTTCCATTCCAAACTGAGGAATGGCTTCCATCAATAAAGAAGACTGCATAGGAAAACCTTTGGAAATGTAACAGTTAACGAATGTGCTAATTTTATATAGTTAATACAGTCATTAGTCTTTAGAACAGCAGTCATCAGCCAGTAGATGGGGATCTACTGGTAGATCTTGGAGCCTCTGACAGGTGATCCTGACTGGTTTGGCCAAGAGGCTGTCAAGAGCCCGCACTTCAGCTGCCCCTCCCCACTGCTGTGCATCTCCTGCCCTTTGCCTTGGAGCTGTCCCCTCAGGAGCTTCCTGCTTGCTTTGCAGGGCAGGGAGGGAAGGGCACTGATGTCAAGGTGCCCCCTCTTCCATTCTGTATCTTATCTCCACAGAGCAGAGAGGGGGCACAACAGGACTAGGGATGGAGTTTGCTGGCTGCTTTAGGGAGTGGTACAGGACCAGGACAGGGGTGAGCCTGGTTTAGCCCCACTGCACCACCACCCAGGAGCCACCTGAGGTAAGCAGTGCCCAGCTGGAGCCCACATCCCAAAACCCTACCCAGTCGTGAACCTCCTCCTGCATCTCAAGCCCCTGCCCTAGCCCCGAGCATCCCTGTATCCTAATGCCCTCCCAGAGCTTGCACCTACAACCCCCTCTGATGCCCCAACTGCCTGCCCCAGGCTCAGCTCAGAGCCCCTCACACTCCAAATCCCTTAATCAAAGACCAGAGCCTGCACCCCCACCCTCTGCCCCAGACTGGTGAAAGTGAGCAGGGGGCAGGGCTAGAGTTACCAGGTAGACCCTGCCAAAAACCCGGACACACTTGATCATGGGGGGGGGTGGA